CATCTCAGGGGGTAGTCAATGACTCTTGCACAAGGCCCATCCTTGTCACGTAGGCAGGAGAACAAGGAGGATAAAAGAGGAACTAAAAACCATGAGGATAGGTTTCTGACAACAGATTCCTCATGAAGAAGAACGGAGGTTTCTGACAACAGATTCCTCATGAAGAACGGAGGATTTCTGGCAGCAGATTCCTCATGAAGAACAGAGGTTTTCTGGCAGCAGATTCCTCCTGAAGAAGAAGAGGGATTCCTGACGATCAGATTCTGGTAACAATCGTGCTCCCTGGTCATTAACGCAAAGGGCTGCCTATTGGGCAGGTGGTCTCAACCCTTTAGAAAGGGGAGACCCTCTTGCCATTACTGGAACTACTGACCAATTAGTAGAGAGCGTTCAAAAGGCTGCTTGTCTCCAATTGATGTATGATAGAAAGCTGCAGCCGCATCATGAATCGCCCATGATGATGCCCGTTGATCCTGAGAGAATGACCCCTTTAATTAGAGGGCTTCTGGAATCACTAAAACCCGCAGGCATACAATTACAAGCAAGGATACAAGCTATGTCACAGGGAGAAAGAACACGGGCAGTGTTAGAAGAAACTGTAACCCCCAATCATCTGCAGTCAGGATGCAAAGTATGGACGTGGGGGGAGGTAGCCCAAGAGTTAATTAACTATGGAAGAAAATATGGGCCGGTGGTTTCTTTCCCCAGTAAATCTGAGCCAAGAGGTGTGAGGCTTGCAGCAGCCAGTCTTGCCCCCAGGCTACCTAGCCCAAAACTTAATGGAACTGAAAACGGTTTGTCTCCACTAAAAACAGGCAGACGGAGCGTTGATCATAAACGTAATGGACTTTGGTGTCTGGGCTGGAAAAAGGGTATTCCACAAAATTTGATGGATGGATTGACAACAGATAGGCTTGAGATGCTTGTTACTGGATGGCTGACTAGACTTGAGGAAAGTAAAAACCCAGTTCCCAGTGCCCCCCCCGTGACACCTGCAGAGCTACCAGAACCACTGGGAAACTAATTCCTTCACCTCTCTCAAGTGAACGGGGTGGTGAAGGGTGGATGCATTAGGAAGCTCACAACAAAGGGAAACACTGATCTCCCGGGCCAGCCTGTGTCGATTGGCTCAGCTAACCTGAGGCTGGTTTCCCTAACCTTAATGGGATACCTTAACAAATATCCTTGGAAGGCCAAGGACACCGCGAAAAAGGAATATAAAATTAACACTTGCTGGATTGTTCCCTCATTTTTTAACCATATTAACAAAGCCCCCCCAAAAATAGGGCAAGTCGGTGTCTCCTTTTATTTTTTCAGAATACTCCTATGGACCTTGACTGAACACAGAAAGGACTCTAATGTTTTATGACAAAAATAATGAAAATTTGATCATGTTAGAATACTGAATATACCTCTTGATTACATTTTGTATTTCGGTTGCAAAAGTACTATGTTTTGTGCTGTTGTGGGTGGTAATGTTGTATCTCTATTTGTTGTATTTATTTGTTATTGGTTATTGCCAAATGTATGGTTGTCTCTTTTCACTTTCTACTTTTTATTCATCATGTAACATTCGTGTCACCACTCCCGAGGTATCACCGAGTGGTGTCTGTGGCAAGTTGACATTGTGTGCTGCTGCAACTCTTATGTTTGTCAATTGTATGGTTTTGTGTTTTATAAGATGTGTTGTATCACCTATGTAGTTTGTAACCTCCTCTACTGATGGGGAAGTCAACGGGACCGCTGCTGGATCCTGCTGGTGACTATTCCCGCTTTACGCAACTCCTGCTCCTTTTCCATCTTTTCTATCGCCCTCCTTCCCTTCCCCGTCTCCCTGATTAGGTTTGGTAATAAACTGGATGGAACAACATATGAACCGTTGTTTCTTAATCTCACGCCGGGTATACAGATATTAAAAGGACCTCATCTCCCCCCTATAAATTGGAGCAAGACAGGACTGTCTTGGGCAGAGCGACCATGAAATTAAAGAGGTTGCTATTCTTGGAGATGTCAGAAGGATGACTGGCAGAACTGCTATCTTGAACTTCCAGAGGGTGGATTTTGACCTGTTCAGGATGCTTGTTGCGGGGGTCCCTTGGGAGTCGCTCCTTAAAGGTAAAGGGGTCCTTGGATGCTCCTCAAGATGGAGATCTTAAAGGCACAAGAACAGGCTGTCCCTGAGTGCTGTTAGGCAAGCCATAGGGGAAGAAGACTGGTGTGGATGAGCTGGGAACTATTGTTGAGACTGAGAAAAATACTCTACAACTCCGAGAATTCCAGTCTCTGGAAGAAGGAACAGGCTACTTGGGGAGACTACAAAAAAGTTGTGATGGTATGCAGGAAATTAGGCAAAAGCCCAGCTTGAACTCAGATTGGCCACTGCAGAGAAAGAGAACAACAAATCCTTTTATAAATATATTAACAGAAAGAGAAGAACCAAGGAGAATTTCCATCCCTTACTAGATGCAGCAGCAAATGTGACCACTGTGGATAAGGAAAAGGCTGAGGCACTCAACACTTTCTTTACATCTGCCTTTGAGACTCACATCAGTTATCCTCAGGGCACCTTATTTGCAGAATATGCCCCTGGCGATTCAGGTGGAGACAGTTAGAAAACTCCTCCTCCATCTGGACTGCAACAAGTCCATGGGACCAGACAGGCTCCACCCTCAGGTGCTGAGGGAGCTGGCAGGGGTGATTGCTGAGCCCCTTTCCACCATCTATCAGCACTCCTGGTTGTCTGGAGAGGTCTCAGTGGATTGGAGGCTTGCCAACGTGAATCCCATCTACATGAAGGGTCATAACAAGGATCTGGGGAACTACAAGCTTGTCAGTCTAACCTCGGTACCAGGGAAAGTTATGGAGCAAATCACCTTGGGTGAGATCACACAGCACGTGCGTGGCATCCAGGTGATCAGGCCCAGCCAGCACAGGTTCATGAAAGGCAGGTCATGCTTGAGCAACCTCATCTCCATCTACAACTGGGTGACCAGCCTGGTAGATGAGGGAAAGGCTGTTGATGTAGTCTACCTAGACTTCAGCAAAGCCTTTGACACGGTCTCTCACAGTATTCTTCTGGCGAAACTGGCTGCCTGTGGCCTGGACGGGTATACCCTTCTTTGGGTAAGGAACTGGCTAGAGGGCCATGCCCAGAGGGTAGTAGTTAATGGAGTTAAGTCCAGCTGGTGACCCGTTTGTTACAAGTGGTGTCCCCCAGGGGTCTGTACTGGGGCCCATCTTGTCTTTATTGATGAGGGGATCAAGTGTACCCTCGGTACTTTTGCAGATGACACCAAGCTGGGAGGTGGTGTTGATCTGCCTGAGGGTAGGGAGGCCCTTCAGAGGTATCTGGATAAGCTGGATCGCTGGGCTGAAGCCAATGGGATGAGGTTCAACAAGGCCAAGTGCCGGGTCCTGCAATTTGGCCACAACAACCCCAGGCAGCGCTATTAGGCTTGGGGCTGAGTGGCTGGATGCCTGTGAAGAGGAAAGGAACCTGGGGGTGTTGGTTGATGCTCGGCTGAACACGATCCAGCCCTGGTGGCCAAGAAGGCCAATGCCATTCTGGCCTGCATCAGAAATAGTGTGGCCAGCAGGAGCAGGGAGGTGATCATCCCCCTGTACTCAGCACTGGTGATGCTGCAACTCAAATGCTGTGTTCAGTTTTGAGCCCCTCAGCACAAGAAAGACATCAAGGCCCTGGAACGTTTCCAGAGAAGGGCAACAAAACTGGGAGAGATCTGGAGCAAAGGTCTTACTGGCGAATGGCTGCAGGAGCTGGGATTGTTCAGTCTGGAGAAGAGGAGGCTCAGGGGAGACCTCATCACACTCTGTAACTGCCTGAAGGGAAGTTGTGATGACGAGGGATTTGGCCTCTTCTCTCAGGACAACAAACAGGACCCAAGGAAAAGGCGACAAGTTGTGCCATGGGAGATTTAGATTAGATGTAAGGGAAAACTTGTTCTCTGAAAGAGTGGTCAAGTGCTGGAATAGCCTTCCCAGGGAAGTGGTGGAGTCACTGTCCCTGGCACTATTCAGCAGGCATCTGGATGAGGTGCTACGAGATATGGTTTAGTAGCTTAGTGGGTAGTAACGTTGATACAGGAAGCGGAGGACAGTTGGACGAAATGATTCTGTAAGTCCTTTCCAACCTTGTGATTCTATGATTCTGTATATTCTGTGATATTTTTTGATGTTCTAAGGATATTGCTGACTATTAACAAAGTACATATAGGCAAATATCTAATGTCATTTGGGGGTAAATTTGGAAGTGTTATTTATCATCTGTACGTAAGGAAATTACATGAATTTAATAACCATGAATTCTGCGTAAGAAAAAACTTAGTATGATTAGAAATTCTGTTGTATAGCACTATACATGAAGCAAGACATTGCTAAATAATGTAGAATTTTCTATTTGACATTGTATACACAAACCCACAGCAATTGAAATAACACAAAAGTTTGACACTGTTTACCATTGTGGCTAGCACACAATGACCAATTTGTTTCTCAAGTCTACTGTTAGATTATCTGCATTCAAACTTGAGATATGAATGACACAGAGCTGATACGAAACATACCACTTCCAATTTTACTTGTTTGTGAAAATATTTTATTCTCCAAATTAGATTATCTTTCATATACTAGTTTTTTCTTTATCTTTCATTTACTAGTTTTAGTAAGATTCATTTGGGCAAAAAAAGAGCTGCAACACAGGCACTTAGAATCACTTTTCTCTATTTTGCAATTAAAGTTACCTTAGTAAATCTTTATCTATACAGAAGAATACAGATATTTTCAGTGCTATGGAGTCTCATATCAATTTTTTAAGAAATAAATAGTTGATAAACCAAGAAAAGTTCTTTTTCCAGTTACACAAATATGAAACCAATACACAACTTCTGGAAGCTGAAAAATTTTAAACAGGGTTTGTGCGAGAAACAAGGCAAAACAGTTGAACATATTTGACTACTGATAGAACTGAACACAGAACTTACCTGGATGCAATATATTTTTCATACATTTCTTCTCTAGCTTTTTTGGCATCCTCCAACTGAATCTGAAGCCTTTCAAGACGATCTTCTTCATGTGCACGGCGAACACTAAGCTCCATGTTCTGGCGATTAAGGTAATCTTTATCTTTTTGCAAGAGGTTGAGAGATTGTTGTATGGTTGCCAGCTATAAATTAAAAATAACACTGTGACATGAACTTAAAGATAAATATTTAACCAATATACATATACATACTTTTTCATTTTAATTCTCTTTCGTAAATCAATTGAACTGAAAAAAACTATACTTATAATTACAGTTAACGTAAGTTGTAACCCTGTGTTGAAAAAAAGACTTCAATTTTATGAATTTTCATGATTGATTTCTCATAGTTGTCCCCTGAAAAGATGTGAAGTGTCCTTTAATATTCCTGAGTATCTACTAACCACGAGGTAATTAAGCAGTGATAGTACTAAATCAGAAATTACAGATACTCAATTTGAGTCTTGATGTGAATCCACAGTCATACCGGCTACAACACTCTCAAAATTTCTCCTCCTCTGGAATGCCTGCTGTGTAAACACAATTGTACACTCTCTTGGTGTTTCCTGGGAAGATTTCTATACATAAACCCAGCTTAAAAACTGGTCTCGTTTTTACATGGAAGATACACTGAGTTGCATTAAACCACCCAAAAATTAGACAACTGTAATAGAAATCAAATAACTTCTTTCTTGGGATTCAGTAAAAACTCTCTCACTCCAGAAAAGCTGTTGTAAAGTTACATCTACCTCAGATAAAAATAAAAATTAGTAATGCAGAGAGTTTTGGATGATTCACTCCTAACTAGCTTAAGATAAAAAACTAATCACAGAATCACAGAATCACCCGGGTTGGAAGGGACCTCAAGGATCATGTAGTTCCAACCCCCCTGCCTAGCAGGGCCACCAAACATACACATTTAGATCACTTTGCCAAGGACCTTGTCTAACCTGGCCTTGAACACATCCAAGGATGGGGCATCCACAACCTCCCTGGAGGTTTAGTGAAGAAATCTTCCCTATAAACAATCTAGTTGCACAAACAGCGATAATGGATACTGAGTAACAGAAGCTTGTACTAGAATAAACTATCAAAACCCAATAGATCAAGGTAGCGGATTTGGAAACATTGCAAATATGTCTGAGTCCTTTGAATCAGAAGCGCTCAACAGGGAGCCATCACTGAACCACTGTGACTGCTGAATAAATGAGGTGACAAACAAGACAAAAAATAGGAAGTTTAATGTTTACCTCCTTTGATAAATCATTTCTTTCTTTAGCTTGTGCTTTATGTGAAATTTCCAGTATTTCGTATTTTCTTCTGAGTTCTGACAATTCATGTTCAAATACATCTCGTTCACTGTGAAAAGAAGGTAAAATGTGTAAGATGTAATGAATAAGAATCTTCTTCATTCTTAATTTCTTTAACTTCTTTCAGTTCATAACAATGAATTCTGCCACTAATGATAATCTTTCTTAGTTACTAGCTCTTGCAACTGAATCATATTATAGGAAAGAATTTTCTTATATATTTGAACAATAATCCTTAATTACAGTACAGTAATTCTGAATTTCTATCCTACATTATTTCATTCACTTCTGATTATTCTTCTTCAGTGTAACTTTGGATTGTTCAGTTCTCCAATTAGCAATGAGTTTTACACAATCTTGCCCAACCTTTTAGTTTTGTCAAGTTTTTAATGCTATTTCTCTTTAATCTTTCATAGACATTGAATTTGCATGAAGACATTTGTCTGACTAGACCCTAGTCTTCATCCTACTCAGACATCTTCCTAATCAGACAGAAAGTGGAGTAGAATTGTTTTCATCTTCTTCTTTCCCTTGTACACAGTCACTTGATGCCAGCGGGAGTTGTACTATTCTTCTCACGTTAAAAATTCATACAACACACTTGCAAAGTTTATGTTGTGTCCTCAATAACGGTGATTTCCATATGTACAAAGAAGCAGCTTTATGTCAACACTGTATCTTATCCTGTTAGAACAAAGGAATGAATAAGCCTGCATAAGTCTGCAGTTTGGAAAAAAAAATCTCACCAGCTTTATATTACACATAGCATAGTTTTAAAACTAAGATAACTTGTAGTACACAAGAACCAGAAGATTTAACAGAAAATTTTTAAAGGCAGAAATGAGTCTGGAAGTGATTAACTCCTGCAATGCTCTCAAATACCCTGATGCAGGCATGCCAATAATGCTCTACCCCTCCCCTTCGTCTGTGCCTACCTAGATGAATACAGCCTACTCTCTCAAATACAGGTCTGGCATGTTCATTCATGCCTTTTTCAACTCAAGACTTATTTTAAATGTACTCTGTTAAACACTGGGTCCTTTCACAAGCAAGTTATTACAATTCACTTAATAAGATGCAGTTGCACACAGGAAGCAAACCATAGCATCAATCCATCCTATTTGCAACAAGCTTCCAGGTAGATTCCAAGGTTATTTTAGTATATATGGCTGTGAACAGTTATCCAGAAGACAGACTCTCTTTCAGATGGGTTAGTGGCACAGTCATTTGTTTCAGTAACAGTATTTGACCTTATTCAACATGAACAAGGAACTGACAGAGTGTTTTCTATTCACCAATCTCATTTTTGAATCCATTTCCCAACAAATCTACCAAAGGCCAGAGGGCCAGATTTCTTGCAAGTACACTGAAGAAGCCATCAGGGAGCTGGACTGTAAAGTACATGTCTATGAGAATATTTATAAAGAAGTTCATTTTCACTCTTTTGCTTATGATGTGGGCATTCAAAGCACAGGCAAGAACTCATTTTTTTTAACCGAAGAGAGACACTTGAAAGTTATACTAAGATTCTCTGGCAAGTAGAATTTTAGAATCTGACCTATAAAAATCCTTCAACATGGTTAACAACCAGAAATCTTAACATTTAAGTTGTCAAACGTGAATTCCCAAGGTTCTACTCTCTATTTACAGTGCAATCACACTGCAGTTAAGCACTGGGCCTTCTATTAAATGATAGCTTTTAAACTCTGAAAAAAAATATATTAGTTTTGAAATGTTTAATATCAACAGCTCCCATGTCTTTACATGCAATGCAACTGGAAGGCTTTTCTGAAAATACAGTAAATTGAAGAAAGTAAGCTTTCAGATTGAAGATGTAAACTTTAATTTGATGCATCAAATTATGTAGCGTTTTTCATTTTATTCTGCAAGAGACAATTGGTCCATTAGTGGATAGAAGAAAAATGAGGTACATATGAGCAAAAAAAAGATCATGAAACGGAACTTCAATCCTGACTGACAAAACTAGAGTATTCTATTAATATTTGCATGTTAGTAGGAAACTTCAAGAGATTTTAGAGACCTACCATTTCACTTTATCATAGTTCTCTTGTCTGAAATCACCTTGCTGAATCATCTGCTTGGTATCAGCCAGTTCCAGCGTTAAGCGTTGGCATTTAACCTCAAGTTCTGACCGACTTCGCCTCTCGTTTTCATAGTTCTAGAAGGCAAGACATTTTAAAATTAACGCAGCTTCATTGATAATTACTTAAAACATTCACGGACTGAAGGTTGAGAAGTCCACTTACAAATATTCAGATGGTACTATTTACATTTTTCTAAGTATTTGGACATCTAGCATAGTTGTATTTTTACGTATAATATGTATATTTATATTTATTTATATTTATACGTATTTTTTCCTAACAATTCCTAAGGCTTTTGTCCACTAGCCCACCTTTGTAGCCCACTAGTAGCCTTCGTATACAGTACAGGTTGTACACTATGTTATGGGACAGAAGTCATACTACTATTACAACATTTTAAAGCCGGTATGCTTGTGAAGATACTTGCTGGTCTATTTGAAAAAGAAGAAAGACATTTGATGATTCAGCAACTTCCAGAAAAAAAAAATAATCAGCCAAATCCCAAATTTAATCTGGTAATTGATATTTGTTTGTCAATCATAGATATGGTGGAAGAAAAAAAAAAAAAAAAAAAAAAAAAAAGAAGGGGAAAAAGAAGTGCTTATTCCACTCCCACAGTAATTCATTGTCCCCTTTTAATCCTGCAGATATCTTAAGACACTGTTATGGGAACTAGAAAATTGGATCCAAGAGAACACACAGAAAAAAACTTTTAAAACGCTGGCTATCCATTATGGAGATTCCTTACCCACTGTACTTTTAGAATCATAGAATCAAAGAATCACCAATGTTGGAAAAGACCCACAGGATCACCAAGTCCAACCATCCACCTATCACCAATAGCACTCACTAAACCATGTCCCTCAACACAACATCCAAACGTTCCCTGAACGCCTCCAGGGTCGGTGATTCCACCACCTCCTTGGGCAGCCCATTCCAGTGCCTTACCACTCTTCCAGACAAGCAGTATTTCCTAATGTGCAGCCTAAATCTCCCCTGGCACAGCTTGATGCCATTCCCTCTAGTCCTATCACTAGTTACACGAGAGAAGAAGCCGTCCCCCAGCTCACTACAACCTCCCTTCAGGTAGTTATAGAGAGCAACGAGGTCTCCCCTGAGCCTCCTCTTCTCCAGACTGAACAATCCCAGCTCCTTCAGCCTCTCCTCATATGGCCTGTGCTCCAGACCCCTCACAAGCCCTTCTCTGAATACAGTCCAGGGCCTCAATGTCTTTCTTGCAGTGAGGGGCCCAAAACTGGACACAGTACTCAATGTGCTGCCTCACCAGTGCCTCTGAGTACAGGGGAACAATCACTTCTCTGTTCCTGCTGGCAACACTATTTTGATGCAAACCAGGATGCCATTGGCCTTCTTGGCCACCTGGGCACACTGCTGGCTCGTGTTCAGCCGAGCATCAGTCAATAACCCCAGGTCCATTTCCTCTACGCAGTCTCCCAGCCACTCACCCTCAAGCCTGTAGCGTTGCCTGGGGTTCCTGCGGCCAAAGTGCAGGACCTGGCATTTGGCCTTGTTGAACCCCACCCCATTGGCTTCAGCCCAGCTCTCCAGCCTGTCCAGATTCCTCTGTAGGCCTCCCTACCCCAGGCAGATTGACACTTCCAGCCAACTTGGTGTCATCTGCAAACTTACTGAGGGTGCACTCAGTGTCCTCACCCAGATCATCAATAAAGATATTGAAGAGGACAGGCCCCAGCACTGACCCCTGGGGAACACAACTCGTGACTGGTCGCCAGCTAGATTTAACTCCATTCACCACCACTCTCTGGGCTCAGCTCTCCAGCCAGTTCCTTATGCAGCCAAGAGGTACCTGTCCAAGCCATGGGCTGCAGCTTCTGCAGGAGAATACTGAGGCAGAGACTGTGGGAGGCTTTGATGAAGTTAAGGCAGATCACATCAACAGCCTTTCCCTCACCATCCAGGCGGGTCACTCCATCATAGGAGATCAGGTTGGTCAAGCAGGCCCTGCCCTTCATAAATCCATGCTGGCTGAGCTTGATCCCCTGGTTGCCTCACACATGCTGTGTAACCTCACTCAAGATGATCTGCTCCATAACCATTCCTGGCACCGAAGTCATGCTGACAGGCTGTAGGACCCCAGATCCTCCTTACAATCCTTTTTGTAGAAAAGTCAGATTGGCAAGTCTTCTGTCTTCTGGGACGTTCCCAGCTGACCAGGAATGCTGACACATGATGGAAAGCGGCTTGGCTATCATCTCCCCCAGTTCCCTCAGCACTTTCGGATGGATCTCATCCAGCCCCACGGACTTGTGGCAGTCCACATGGAATAGTAGGCCTCTGACTGCTTCCTCCTGAATCACTGGGGATTTATTCCTCTTTCCATCCGAGACTTCCAGGTCAAAGAGTTCTGGGCCTCCTGTCCAGACTCATTTGCACATAACTCAGCCCAGCCATACACGGCAACAGAATTGATGGATTTAGTACAGCGATTTCAGCAGAAGCCTAGAGAAAATGTGCCAGCTTGGTTATTAAGACTGTGAAATTCTGGGGCAGAAAGCATTATGGTGAATGGCCTGGAAATATCCAAGTTGGCCATCTTGACTGTCCATCCTGCCCTTAGGCAGAGGTTATATGTGGGTATTCAATATCTTAATGAAAACCATTCTATAATAGAATGGTTAATGACAGCCTGCTCTATGGTATGGCCGAATAAATCCGATATACCTCTACATACAGGGATATGGTCCTCCACGGAGGATCTTCAAAATTATATCTGCGAACTAGGCATAAGGGAAGCAATTTATGAAGTTACATATGATGGCCCTGATATGGTCAAATTCTCAAATTTATTGGTCCTGAAAAAATATTCAGAGTTATGGCGTTAGTGGACACTGGAACAGAAACACCAATTATTTACAGAGATCCGAGTAAACCTGATGGAGACAGAGTGATGACTGGTGGTTTTGGAGGAGAGACTATTCCTGTCACCCAAACATGACTGAAATTGGGGGTTGGGCATCTCCCACCCCGGGAGTATAAAGTGCCTATTGCCTCAGTCCAGGAATACATCATGGGCATAGATATTCTGTAGGATCTGGCTCTCGAGACAACTGTGGGAGAGTTCAGACTTAGAGATGTACTAGTATCCGGACGGTGCAGGCAATATTAAGAGACCATGCGAAACATGGGCCTATTTACCTGCCAAAACCGTGCCAGTTTACCAGTGTAAGACAGTATAGCCTCCTGAGTGGACATGAAATATCGAGAACGGTGCAGGAATTAGAAAAAGTGGGCATTATAAGACCTGCTCACAGCCCATATAATTCCCCCCCATATGGCCAGCGCGAAAGTCAGATGGCATGTGGAGAATGACAGTGGATTACAGAGAATTAAATAAGGTCATGCTGCCTATTCATCCAGCTATACCCAATATTGCCTCCCTAATGGACACATTAAGTAGGGAGGTAAAAACCTACCATTGTGTCCTAGATCTAGCAAACGCGTTCTTCAGTATCCCAATTGCTGAAGAATCGCAAGATCAGTATGCATTTACGTGGAGAGGCAGGCCGTGGACCTTTCAGATCCTGCCACAAGGGTACGTGCATTTGCCGACATACTGTCATAATCTAGTGGTGTGTGACCTGGCTAATTGGAAAACAACTGATGATGTTATCTTATATCACGATACTGATTTTCTCCTGTTGACATCAGACTCACTGGAGGCGGTAGGACAGGCAGCAGATTCATTAACTGTCTATTTGCAACAGAGAGGATGGGCCATAAATCCTCAGAAGGTGCAAGGTCTGGGCCTGTCTGTAAAAGTCCTGGGAGTGGTTTGGTCAGGAAAGATCAAAGTATTACCCAGTGCTGTCATAGATAAGGTTCAGGCGTTCCCAGTCCTTCCAACACCAAAGCAGCTGCAAGAGTTTCTAGGTATATTGGGTTACTGGCGTTCCTTTATACCTCGCCTAGTTCAGCTGCTAAGGCCATTGTACAGACTCACAAAAAGGGGCAGCTAATGGGACTGGGGAAAAACAGAACAGGACGTTTTCCAACAGACAAAACTGGCAGTTAAACAAGCCCAGGCATTGGGTATATTTGATCCTACCCTCCCAGCCGAGTTGGACGTTGACGTTACTCAAGATGGCTTTGGTTGGGGCCTGTGACAACACCAGAGTTCTGTTCAGACCCCCATTGGTTTCTAGCCTCAGATCTGGCGTGGAGCAGAAGAAAGATATACGATGACTGAGAAACAGTTACTGGCTGCCTACTCTGCATTACAGGCAGTAGAGCTGATGACTCAAACAGCTGAAATCACAGTTAAGACCATTCTGCCAATTCATGGGCAGGTGAAAGATCTGACCCACCTTCCTAAGATAGGGGTGGCCCAAGCACAAACAGTGGCACGATGGGTCACCTACTTCAGCCAAAGGAGTAGTCTGTCCTCATCATCATTAAAAGAAGAACTTCAGAAGATCCTAGGCCCAGTGACATATCACTGTGATGCACTGGTCGCTCCACCAGAGAAGAGTCCCGTTCAGGAGGGAAAATATCCTATCCTGAAGATGCCTGCAGATGGGCAGAACTGCAAGCTGTGTGGATGGTTATAACCAAGCAACCCAGTGATGGTATCCTGAATATCTGTACAGATAGTTGGGCTGTGTACCAGGGGCTCACTCTTTGGATTACACAGTGGGCCACCCAGGAATGGACTATCCACGCCCGACCAATCTGGGGCAAAGACATGTGATTAGACACATGGAATGCCATTAAATACAGAACTGTGTATGTCTACCATGTTTCTGGTCATCAGCCCCTACAGTCACCAGGAAATGATGAAGCTGACACGCTGGCCCAAGTTTGATGGATTGAGAATTCGCAATCTGAGAACATCACCAGAAGTTACAGCATGTGGGACAAAAGACAATGTGGGCAGCTGCTAAAGCATGGGGACTGCCCATACAACTACCTGACATCATCCAGGCATGCCGGGATTGCAACTCTTGCTCTAAGATGAGACCGAGATCGTTGCCTGAAACAACAGCCTATCTTGCTATAGGATACAATCCTCTCCAGCAATGGCAGGTTGATTACA